TGCCTCGTTAAAACCTTAACTAAAATAAAACCCAATGGGGAAAAAATCTAGTAAAGGAAAAAAGAGTACACATATTTAACAATACGTCTTTTGGTTGCCTCATTAAAAACCTTGCAAGGAAAACCCAGTGGGACAAAACCTTATAAGGGAAAAAGAGTGCAACGCGCATTAACTCCCCCTGATGAGAGTATAAATTCACATCTTTAAGCATTTGCATTCCAATCTTGTGCACCATATTCAAAAGATCTCTTGAACGAATTTGTTTCACCTTGAAATCATCATCCCTGATAGATGTATTGTCTTCATATGATCTTGTTGGAATCATCATTTCAATATTTTCACATAGGGGTGATAACTCTTGCTATCATATTATCATGCTTATAGTTATAACAAGATACATATATGCACAAATTACACTGAGGAAGTGGTACTTCAAGATCAAGAATTGTATATGCTTCAAGCAACTTAAATCCTTCATGGATTGTCATACAAGTTAAGTCATATAAGCCATATAATAGACTTTAGATTTGTATGTCATGCCAGACATATAAGATACATAAAGGTGATAGCACACACCATTGTATTTATACTTTTAAGTATTTGAACTACAGGTCCAAAACTACTTGTCTTTCATATGAAACCAAATTCCACTTGAATTGTTTCTCTAGACTTAAGATCCTCATATATATTTAGCGCTATTATGGATTTCATCGACAAACATTTTATATCGGTTCCAACCTCCTTATTTTTCATAAAGACATAACACAGAGATCTCTTCATTCATATGTTCAGGTACCTGAATCTCTCATGAGATTTTATGAAGTGTTATGTCATGTGATCTTCTAGATCACTTGCCTCCTTTATTATGATCATTTTGATCATTTGCTCACCTTCTTTATCAAGAAGTTTATTTGAAACCGATCTGTCTATACGCTTTAAGCGTGCCATAGACTTTGTCCTTCTAGGACTTATTATAATAGGAGCATTTGCAGTGAGAATATAGTTACTTTCTTTGGGTCAGCAAATGCATCTGCATGCTTCGCAATAAATTGCACATGAATTATCCTTTTACGAACTTCAAATTCATATTATTTTATTCGAGGAGCTAGATGTATAAATGATAATTCATTCCATGTAACTTTTTCTCAAGTGTTGTATCTTGTCTCCCTCTCATGTTAGAAAAACTAACTTGTCTCCTCAAATTTGAGAACCCATCTTTGTGCGTTATGGTGTTAATCAAAATATACACCGTATATCAATAATAATAAGATGAAATTATTTGGTTCCTGACCCTGAACCACTTGTGAGGGGAGAAAATAATATACTTTGGTATATAACGTATATCAAATTGATATAGATAACTTGGTTCTCATAAGCAATTGTTTAGCTATTAAGTGGAGGCACTCAATAAATTATTTTGCTAAACCAACTGTGATGTAAACCAACTTATCAAGATAAACTATCTTGAATAAAAAATTTGGAAATTATGCTCTAAATCAAATTATTGAGCAAGTTACCTCGCAAACACCATGTTGCGGGTTAATAATAATCGCGCATGTAACCATCTCATAGATGCATCTTATATGGTATACATGGCAGGTGAATGGGCCCATATTCACCTTTGATATTTCCAGCATTCATGGGATTCAATCCCAATTTTAGTTGGTCTATTAATTAATAAGAACAAGCAACGTAAGAGAATTCGTAAAGAACTTTCTAGTTCTTTAATATTTACCCATATGAACTCTCTTTTATTTTTGCACATCATACTTAAATTGATATGGCTAAACCAATTATGCCAATTGAATAAATTATCAATATTGATAAACTTCAGGTTTACACCATGACGTGTGCAATTATCAATAAACTTCAAGTTTATTATGATATGGGTTTTTATATCAATAAACATCCACTTAGTGTGGTATTCTTTTATTTGTGTAGTACAAACTGGAGAATAAAGCGGGTAATTTTTCACATACATATTATCCCGCTACAAGTTGTAGTAATAGAAGATATTAAATCTTTCCTTTATTTATAGTCTCAATATAATCAACCGCTTTCGTGAATACCTTAGAAACTCAATTAAGTTTCTTTGAGACTTACTACAACACAATACCTTATTGGCAATCAATTATATTTCTCCAAAATAGTAATGATTGGCTCTTCTAGAGCTCTCAATTAATTTTGTACTACCACATATTCATCAACATCCATGTGGTGAATATCTTTTTCATGGAGAAAGTTATACCATTATGGTCATGGTCAAAATTATATGCAAGATATGTTTCTTGCATTATTGTTGTCCTTTAATAATCACATTGCGAAAATATTTTGGCGTACCATAGGTACGTGACCAGTGACCATTCATGCCATAATAATGACATTATTTTCTTATATCATCTCAAACCTCCTTCTAGAGGTGAGTGTGGTATATTCACTACCACTAGCACGTTCATATTCTTCCAAAAATGAATATGTATTCATAAATCAGATGTTGTCACATTCACATCATGAATGGACCATAATCATCTATATGTGCTTTATAAAATCTCATGTCAAATCGATGACAAATATTACTTTCACAAAGTGAAGAATTATTTAGAGAATCCTTATTGTTCTCATTACCACAATGATGACGATTATAATTTCGTCTATTGCCACGTCCACATCCATTGATACATTCATAGTAATAATTTTGTCTTCTTTCAGACTTATCACATACTGCTATCACATTCTCTTAAGGGAATGAGAATGGAGCAAATTCAATGGGACGGGTTTTCAATAGTTTGCCCACAATCATACATGAATTTGATCATGGCATCCAATTGCCTTGGTTATTTCCACCACTCCAATTTCCTTGATTGTTGTTACAATTCCAATTACCTTGGTTGTTAGAATTCCAATTACCTTGATTACCTTAAGGTCGGCATTGTTGTTGATTTGGGCCTTGAGAGTTGTTTCTTTGCCCATGAAAGTTGTTCACGCATTGCACTTCTTCCTCTTGTTCATTGTAAGATTCATCTTGATCAAACCCACTATCTTCTCGCACATAATTCTCCACACGGTTTTGCACTTGTGGACCCTTTTTCCTTCTCTCATTCACCATCATACTAACTCCCTCCATTGCCTTGACTTGCTCAGGACTTTGCACTTCTTGAAGTTGAGCCTTGACTAATTGATTCATTATGTGGTCAACTCGGCAATGGCTTTCCCTACGGTGAATCACTGTCGGATCACCTTGAGGAACACTTGCTCTACTTTGTCCATGCCGATGAAGTATCCGCCATCTCATCTAAAAATCTCACNGAATGGAGCAAATTCAATGGGACGGGTTTTCAATAGTTTGCCACAATCATACATGAATTTGATCATGGCAAGGCATAGAAATTTTACCACTTCAGGTGGTTGTAATTTCTTACAAACTCCATTAGAGTTATAATCAAATTTTGTTGTCTTTGCTTGTATTTAAAATCACATTATATAATAAAAGAGAAAAATACGATAATATACATACCTTAAATCCAGATTTAATCATGAAGGAAGTTCATGGAACAATTGACAATCATTATGCTCAATCCCAAAGCTTCTACTCAATTGGTTAGAGTCTCGTGCTGATAACGTGTTATGAAATAATAAAAGAAGAAGAAGAATATTGCCGAGAAAAGTAGGGAGAGAGAATTCTTATTGATTTTGAGATGAATTACAATGGAATAGAACTCTCTATTTGTAGGGAGAGGGTGACTTAGCCCACCAAGCAATGAACCCTAGAATCTCTCTAAATATAAACATTCACCATAAACATAATTCTATTTATAACAGTTCACATATATTGAAACAGAGAGATTAATAAATTTTTGATGTAAAATTTCTATCGACATTAATTAATATCCATAATTAAATACGAAAGAAATGTTATCTCAAATTATATACCATGAAAAAAAACTCTAATCTCGGTAACCAAAATAACCCAACTATGGTGCTTCTCCCTCCTCTCTTTCTCTCGTTTTTGTATTCTAGGAATTGGAGGGGGTGAATGGAGGGCATGGTTTGAAGAGGGCCTATCATACTACTATTTCTTGAATGTATCGCTGTAATTTGATGACAGATATTATAAATAAACCTTTTCTCTTTCTAAGTATCTTTAGTTCCGGTTATTTGGTTTCCCTCCAATTGTTCAATTTTCACATTTACATCTTTTAAGGGAAAGTCAATGGAATTCTTATTGATGAAAGATCAAGCACCATAAATGAAGCAGTAGAGGTAAGAGAACGAAAATTAATCTAAATAATTGTTTATCCAATAGTTTAAATTAAAAATAGTCAACGAATATATATATATATATATATATATATATATATATATATATATATATATATAGTTTTATAATCTATGAATACTAGCTAGAAAAAATTAATAATAAATCTGATAGGATATTTGTATAAAAATCTCTATTCTTTTTGCCAAATTTCCTCTTTAATAATTTTGGATGCATTTCGTACGACGCACATATGCATGGAGCTTTTAAAAGATGCATAGTTGAGATTTCTTCATTGAACCAAATAATTGAGTGTCAATAATAGTCCAAGAAAAAAAAATACTCAGATCGATGACATTATTTTGAGCAATTTTAATGAATAAATAAATACTACTGTAGTTGGTTTTAGATACCCAGTGTGATGAGGTCATCAATCAGCATGAGAACTACGTCATAGTATATCGTCGTGTTATAGACAGTTTTAACCCAAAACGCGGATCCAAAAGAGTTCAATGACGAGGGCAAATTATATAATTATATAATGCTAGTAGATATTTCATTTACTGAATAAAATGTCTTTTTGGTGGGAAACAAAAAAGAAAAGTTTGTTTTTAGCACGTGGAGGAAGGATCGATTATCTAATAAAACAATTTGACTAAAACAAATGACAAGCTTGGTATTGGGTAAACACTTATTATTGTACTCATTATGAGGTAAACAATTAATATATATTATCGTACAAAATTAAAAATTTAAAAGCTCTGATCGATATGCCATTGATCAGCACATCGTCGTCGTTCTTGCAAAAATTGCAGAATGTATAAACTTGTTGTAGGTTAAGGTATTTAAGAATTAAAAGAATGGCTGTCTCCAGAAATGGTCTAAGGGTTCTGTCTGAAAATTGTCAAAGGGTTCTGTCTGAAAATTATCGATGGGATTTGTCCAGCAAAAGTTAAAGAAATCTGCTGGAAGTTGTTCCATTGACGTGATATGATCTTCTTCAATCCAATCCATTTCATTTAAAAGGGAACAACTCGAATATAAGTCGGATAAATCAGTTGATGAAACCTCCGTAGACGTTGCTGAAGTGTCAATAGCATTTAGACTAGCAGATGGCACCTCTCTCATACTATAAGAAGATTGCGAATACTCAGAAAATTGCTCCATAATTGGTGAATTGGAAGTAGTATTTGTTTTGGCACGTTTCTTGAGATGAGCATGCCACTGGTTTTTGACATCGTTGTCGGATCTTCCGGGTAATCTTGCAGCAATGGCTGACCATCTGCAATATTTGAATAAATTAAGAACCTCTAAATAAGTACTTCATTGGGTATCACCACTTAAGGACCCCTTATTTTTTCATTTTTTCGAAAATGAGTTTTCAAAAACCAAAAAGAAGTTTTGCCACTTTTTAAAAAAATTTTGTTTACCCACTCTCAAGACTGCAATATATTTTTAAGTGAAATGCATATTCAAATATAATTTTAAGTTCCAAATATCATTTTTCAACTTAACTTTTTTTCAAAAATTACAAAATTTTTATGTCCAAATGCCTATTTAGCATAATCAATTTAATGTCTACCTGTTTCCATGTTCCTTGTGTAGTTTAATGATGAGTTCCTCTTCTTCAAGGCTATAATTTTCTTTCTTTAAACCAGGTCTCAAGTGATTCATCCATCTCAACCTGCAGCTCTTCCCACATCTCATTAGACCTGAAAAATAAGTCCAAAAAGAAATACAATACTCCATAAGAACGTGATCTTCCTAAAAGCGAAAGAGAAAATAGAGGAAATCACAACAATGAGAAGGATTTTGGGGCTCCATATATACTAACCAGCATGTTTAGGCAATTGCCTCCAATTCGGATGACCAAATCTTTCAACAAAAGCTTTTAGTTTGTTGTCTTCTTCTTCACTCCATGCACCTCTCTTTATTCCATTTTTGTCAACTGAAGGAGTTCTCACCATTTTCTTTGGAATACCTATATTTATATGTATGCTCTCTTGGTTTTTGTTAATTTGATTTCTTTTTCTTAAACTCTATCTGACTAACTTGCAGTCTAACAATTCTGCTCTTATATATATATGCAGTTCGACCAGGCAACTTAAGCCGTGTTTCTGATTAATTTATCCTTCAACTAAACCGAACGACAATTTATTTTCTATTTAGAATAAACAAGGGAATACTACCACAACCCCCCCGCCCCCAACCACCAAATTATAACTGGGCTTCAAGGTCAATGCATAGATCCTATAAAGAGACTGGCTTCACTGTCTTGACTCTAGTGATAAGCTTTCCACACCAACTGAATATTCAGTGAAGACGTGTTAATCGATTTCTTTATTTTCTTTAATTTCTTATTTACCTGAATTATTGCTTTGCTTTTCATCATTATAATCCCCCATAAATTAACCCTTTCACCTTTTTTCCTTAATTTATTCTTGACCTTTTGAAAAAACATATCGATTTTAAGTTAGTACTATACATTAATCCCGAATCATTATACAAATCTAAAACACCACCAAATAGAAATAAGACACATAGCAGTTAAGCCTTCTTGTACATTAATTTGGAAGCGATAAAAAAGGTTGGTTAGGCTAATTCATTCTCTCCTTTTCGCCTATGACAGTTTCAATTGGAAAATTGCCAATGTTAGAAATGGATAGAGGACAACAAAATTGGCCCTCCAATTGCGAACTCATATATCCACAATAAAATCCAATCTATTTCCAAGCTCGTATCAAACATTAATTGATTCATGCCCAATATGAAATTCAATAGACAAGACGCGCTAATCATATGAGGAAATGTTAATAATTGCTTAAATCGTTTATAAAATCAAATATTTAAGACTATGTAATTTCAAACGTAGATAACTTCTATACTTGTCGTTATTTTGGTCTAGATGAATAGAAAGGGACAAAATATAAAGAAAGAAAAGGGCCCAAAAAAAGAAAGAAAAAAGATGAAGTGTACTCGTTCCGTATGACGAGTAATTTAATAGGTACGTAATTAATTGATAAGGAGCTCTCACTAAACAAGCTGAAATTAAAAATCGTACGATAGTCGATCAGTGAATTAATGTGCATGATCTCTATATCATACGATATGAAGAATCAACTACTTTTATTAATCGAACTCTCTGTTATAGAGTCCATATGCGTTCACATGTTGTCTGCGCTTTCACATTTCAAGAACTTATTTTGGCATTATTACATCTCAGTGACACATGGAGTATCTATACAAGGAAGAAAACAATTTTTAAAAAAAAAAAAAAAAAAGGTTATCAACGAAATTAGATGTTGTATGACCAAGTCTTTTTGTGTTTTTCTTTTCTTTTTCATTTCGTTTTCTCTAAGCAGTAGCGAAATTAACACTCAAAAAGTTTGGATTAAAGGAAATGGTCATTCAACTTTTGTGTTTGTTATCCAAAAATTATCTTTTCTTTTTTTTTTGTTACGTAAAAATTATTTAACTCTGTGTTCATTACTCAAAAGTCACATTTCTTTCTTTTGTTACACAAAATTCATTTTACTTTGCTCTAGTTATCACAAAAGTCACATTTGCCAGATTTTATAATATTTTTACTTAAAAAAGTCTATTATGCCCTTGATATTATATAAATCCTCATATTTATGTAATACCTTCTATATTATATACTATATAATATATTTTTATCTAGGTATTTTATTTATAACTAAAATAACTTAGTATTATTTTTATAATATATTCGTACATTTAATTTCTTAACGTTAATTTTCAAGATATATTGGTAGCGTTATTAAATTTGTCAGTAACTTTACTATGAAAAAATCTCAAGTCCACTTTCTTAACCATTTCTAATGAAATATTTTCAATAAGAACTATAAAATCAAAGCTCACAGATTTATCAATCAAGCCATATTCGAACTCACGCATCATATTAACAGTTTCAAATAAATAATACCAACAGATAAAGCTTAAAATTTATATTAAACTCAAATATCTTTTAAAAAGAAAGTTTTACTAACTATAAAAAATTATTATTTATTAAACAAATCTGTTTATGTTATTTCATCAACGAAAGAGATTCTCATATTCACACAATTTTTATCATTTTCATATTTGAAAATATGTTCATGCTAGAATATGATTAAAAAAGTCCCATATCATGGGAAAATTAAACGTACTAATATATTATAAAAATAATAAATAAAATAATATAAAATTATTTAATTATAAGTAAAATTTCTTTGGTAAAAATATATTATATAATATATAATATAGAATGTATTACATAAGTTGCAGGATTTACAATGTCAAGGCATAATAGACTTTTCAGGTGAAAGTTTTATAAAATCTTGTCAAAGTGATTATCGTGATAACTAGAGCAAAGTAAAATAATTTTTGTGTAACAAAACAAAGGAAAGTGACTATTAAGAAATGAACACAAAGTTGAATGACTTATACGTAATAAGAAAAAGAAAAATGACTTTGCGTAATGAACCAAAAGCTGAATGACCATCCATGAAATTTACTCGGATTAAAGTACTCTAAATAATTAATACCTACACAATATTACTTAGTTTTGAATACACTCCTTGTAACTCATAAACGTACTAATTACAATCTCTATATAATGAAAATAACAAGTATAATGATTATACCTTTCAAAATTAAACATTTAAATCGCATATATCGAAATTCTTGTGGAAGTTAAGAACAAGCATCATATGCTAGTTGTACATACATACAATATACTCTCACGTTTTAATTTACGTGCCGATGTTCGTTAAGAACTGAGTTTAAGAAAAAAAATCGAAACTTGTGCTCGCAAATATGTTATGATATTTTTTATGTATAAAAGCATATCAATCAAAACAAAATAAAAAGAATAAAGTTATAATTTTTTTTATATATAAAAAGGTGTCTCTCTTTAACCTAACAAATTATGGGAGTATGCGGAGGGAGTAAGGAAATGGAGTTGAGTGTAAGGGAATGGCATATAATTTGGTAAATACTTATGCACACTGAGTGTTTACACCAAACTATATTAAATCACTATGGTTAATTAATTTAATTAGATGAGAATACATATAATTTATCATAGTTAAATAATTGAAGTCCATATACAAAATACATGTCATGTATCTATTGGTCTGGTGTAAACACCCGGTACGCGTTTCTTTATGCTTTTTGTACACCGCAAACATGCATGGAGTGTAAGATAATTAATTCGTAACCATAGCAGAGTTTAAGACACAATTACACAATCAATCTAGAGTTAGATCTAAGGAAGCGTACCGTTAAACTCCATGTATTCAGCAACGACAGCAAACGGCGATTAAGCCTGAGACCAACTTCCACAATCCACTAGCTACACGCTCTCACAGCCCGGAGAACTTGACTGATGGGATGTCTACCGTTACCACGTATTCAAGAGGAAGAATACGCTAGGGTTTTCTAATAACTAGGGAAAGGGGGGTTGGCCTCTATTTATAAAGAGTGCATACCCATCACAGGCCAATAGTTTTTTGGGCCTCACTTATCCACACACACAATATTTAATACTAGGCCTTTTATTTATCCACCACTTGGGCCACGTCACTATCCTTTCAGGCTATAACCAATTAACGTAAGTCCAAATTCCAACATTCTCCCACTTGGACGCCAACGTTAATTGAGGACAAGAAAACAATTTTAAATATTTGAGTTTTTAAGAAAATCATTTTGAAAAAGGATTTTAGACTCTACGGTGGCCACACTACTCACATAGCCAAGGATAGAATCCATATAACAATCCATCCAGTCTCACTAGAAAAGACTAACAATGAATCGTAGCAGGCATCGTACCATTTTAAGGTATGAATTCTATCTACGACCACATATGCTAGAATTTCCATCAACATGGATCAAACATGTGTGCTAAGAATTTTATCTTTCTAATCAAGGTGAATAGATTCACACCTCTTAGAAAGAAATAATCCTCCAAGTGATATTATAACCATATCACACTCTCTAATCCTCTTGGTCCTCAAGCTGTAATTAAGAAAGAAATCAACTGCTGGATTGCAAGAACAAGTAGGGTCTTAATGAAAGTGTTGTTCCTCTGAAAAAAATAATCAGTAATCTTTTGGCCTTTGTCTGCTTTGAAAACTAGTCTTGTTCATGTTCCTTTAAATTCCTGGTGGTTTGGATAGTGGCTTGCAATTGTTATTGTAACCAAGACTTGCAGGAGGATCTAGTAAGCAGACGGAAGCCAAAAGAGGATGAAGCTAGTGTTGTGTGAAGGGGCCAATGGATCAAAGTAAAATTAGAGTTGTATAGGGACATCTATTTACCTTTAAAAATAATTCTAGCATTCGTTTAGGAAATACTATTTTGTACCGTCTATTAAGACGGAGATAGTTCGGTTCCCTTTTGGGACAAAGCTGTTATTCATTTTCAACAAATGTAATGGTTGTTATAAGACTTTCCTATGATTCACATGTTATTGCTGATGCCTTTGTTGAAGTGATGTCTACATCGCTTGAATGTACTAAATGATAACTTTTTCTTGCAATGATTGTTGAAAATTATGCTCACAATAAAGGTTTGCTATGAGATAAAATCGTCTTACCTATAATGCGCATAGGCGTCAGTTTGGTCATATCTCGTAAAGAAAGAATTATAACGATGGTACAAGAGAAAATATTTTTACCTATCTTGATCCAAAAGAGTTGAAACTTGTGTGGATTTGTGTTAAGGGTAAAATTGACCAAGGTTAAGAGAAAGGGTTCCACTAGGAGCTTCTGAACTTTTAAAATTATTCATACTGATATATTAGTGGACCTTATGTACCGTGACTTTGACCAATCATAAGTATTTATTACTTTTTTGTATGACTTTCAAAAGACTGTTATATAGTATTCTTTAAAAAGAAAAAATCTGAAAGCATTGGTGTATAAGTTTAATATTACCAAGGCTGTAAGTTGAAAAACAGCTTGGAAAGTTCCATTAAGATAGTGAGGTTCTGACCGTGGTGGTGAAGTACTATGGAAAATTATGATGAGGTCTGGTTCAATTGTTA